TTTTTTTGCTAGGAACCGTCAGAGTATGATTGCTAGCTTTGATAATACGTGTTTCTGATTTTGTTTCTAACTGATAGTTTTCAGCTTGCTGTTAATGGAAACTCCAGGTCGTGTGCATGAATTTTTCCAGAGACGTAATGCAAAAGGGCGCGGAAGTGGTCGAAAACTGAGGAATAGTGGGTTTATACAGTGGAAAATACCACTTTGATTGTCTTTACAAGTAAATGCTTGCGTGAGTGGTTTCAGGGGATCCATGGCAAGAGCCTAAGGCGGACGAGAGCGGGGAATATGGGCAAGATAATTCGCAGAAAATTGTAACTCCTATGGTGTTTAAACCGAAAAAGCGGAAACGGTAAATTTCAGCTTCATGTAACGCTCTTCTTCACAGAAAGCTACAAATATGATTTGTAGTGAAAAACTGTTAATCGACAATTCGCAATACGAAAAGATGCCCATCTGTGGTATCGAAGTACGATTACCAGTCGGTCTGAAGCCATATCCTTCACAAAAACTCATGATGGTTCGCATAATAACCGCACTGACGAAGAGGCTGAACCTGTTGGCTGAGAGTCCCACTGGAAGTGGTACGATTGCTAACTTATCTTAGCTAAACAGTACTACCTGATGCTGACTGCCTTTAAGGAAAGACCATGGCACTGCTAGCATCGAGTTGTGCTTGGTTAGAAGATTACAAGAAGAAGCGACATGAGGCTAGATCAACTTGCCCAATCCACAGAGCTAATAGCGAGGCTGAAATGGGTAAGTACATCGCATGATGGTTCTGTAACTTTTGCTTTTCCGTGGGATCCGTGGTGAACTAAGCACCTTTGATTCTACACATTGTTCCTATATGCACTTTCATCGCATCATAATAATATTGTATTTGCGGATATTTATAGTTCTTTCGCTGCATGATCTGTGTGCAACTGTGTCGCAAGATCGTTTAAAAGCATGGAATCTGTGTTACTCCACAGAAATGCTTTGCCGTTTCTAGTTACATAATTTTTTTTTTAAATGAAAGTTCATATTGTTACACGTATTCACAGCCAGAACGTGAAGCTAGGAGGACCGAGCATAGTCTCTATTGAAACTACCCTTCGGCCCATTTTAAGATTCATTGCCCAAAGCCTAATAAAAGCGAGCGGAGCGCTGCGACCTTTCTTTGCAGAATATGTCCCCGGCGTGGATGTTGGTAAAGTGCGATTCAACTGCCAATATCCCTACGAATGAATGCCTAGCTGCATATGTTGATGAGAACTGAGTGAAATAACAGCTCGAGTTATTGGTTAATCAAAACCGTCCTCTCGCTCACAAAATCAGTCTTTTTATAGCTGTAGCTGTATAAATATGATAGCAGCAGCTCATATCCTTTCGATCCTAATTCACTTCTTGTGCCCTTATACAACACACTGAGGTCGGTATCTTCAAGGTGATTTAAGAGGCAGTGTCAGACCATAACTCCGTGGAAAGTGGATAATTAACGCAAGCATGTTTTTTTCGTTTCTGCTGGCCGTAGAACGTGTTGTCTTCTTGTGATTGGAAAAGAGAGTAGTGACAAGTAGCTCACAATGGACGGGGTAAACTTAGTTCATGGATTATATTCCAAGAATTCACTGCCATAAACAGCTCACACTCTGCATAAGCGCAGTGAATTAATTATGCACCGCCTTGCACCGCCGACCAAGCAGGGCTTGCTTAAAATACTCTTCGAACTGCAGCAATGTTCAGCCTCTGGACTATCATCAGAAGTTCCAGCAAAACATCAACCTAATAATCCAGAAACAGACGCTGAAAACATCAAACTGGAAATAAAAGTAGAGGTGAGAGCTTTCCCCATTCAGTGGGCTTCTACATTCGCTTGTGAATTCTCGTTGACGTTTTTCTAGCCAACGCCAATCACTCCAACAAGCAAGACTTCATCGTTGTGTGAGTATCTCTTTGGTACAAGCTGATGATTTGCATTGGATCTGATATTTGCTGTTCCAGATGACGATGAGTTTTTAAATGACTTTTCCGGCAGTCCAGCTCCACCGCAGAGTAATGTGGTAAGAATTTAACACAATGATAGGATTTTCCTTGATAGTGTTGCTGTTTAGAAAAACGTATCATCATCGAAAGTCGAACATAAAGAATGTTTGTGTTTACCGTGAGTGTTTTGCTATCTCTTAAAAGCTTTTTACGTTTCTGCGTATCCTCATATTTTTTCTGACTGATTCAGAAAAATACGTATATATTATGGAACACGAACGCATAAACAAATTGGGCAGGTTGTCAAGGAATTTTCGCGTTTGCCTTATGGCGGAATAATCTAGTTGGTTTTTTTAGTTTTGTATTAAATGATCACTCATCAGCTCTATGCCTCGGTTACAGCCATACTGTCATGGCAAGTCGAGAACAGTCATGTATCAATGTTGCCGCTAGAGAATCAGCGGACGTCTCCGGGTATTGCAAAGAACTTTTATCTGCAGGCGGAGTGAGTAGCAACAAGTTATCATTTTTTTTGCATCACTAACAATAATCAGTGCGCCTGCAGATGGGATGTCGGTTCAAAGACGCCATGAAAGGACGATTTGAAAGGCCTCAATATGTGCGATTCGCACTCGAACAAATGGTACGAAATCTTGTTCAGTTTATCACAGACATCTTGGCCGTTTTCATTCTCTTCATGTTTCGTAGCTCTAGCATACCCTTATCATTGCCAATTCTGCTTGATCCCAATTTTTACTCCATCCAGCACTTCTAATCTGTTTATATCAAAATGTCGTGTTATTATACTTCGCTTGTAGTCGTTGATTCTTTGTACGTCCTTCAGAACTCTGTCGTTTTCGATATTGAACAACTAGTCGATTCCTTATCATCAATGTCGACTCCTATATGTCCATATTTCTCATCGACGCGAATACTCACGCAGGACGCCGATATTATTTTTTGTCCATTCAGTTACATAGTAGGTCCGTAACTTTTCATTTGTCGGTTTCATGTTCCTCAATTTTGTAAAACAACCTATCTAGATCCGATAATCCGCAATTCATCTGATGTTCATCTGAAAAATAGCGTTGTGATTTTGGATGAGGCTCATAACATCGAGGATAATTGTCGGGAAGCGGCTAGCTTCACTTTTTTTGAAAAAGAAGTTTCAGATTCATTGGGTAGCCTGAGGGAGAAAGGTGAATTCGGAGTGCTATGACCTGAACCGTAAAACCGTGTATATCTCTGCTTTTGTAGAAAATATAACTATGAAGCTGTTGGAGAAGTGCACTAGCGCTGCCGAATTAATGGAAGGCATGGAGAAG